AAACAACAGCGGTTGAGTAAGTGCATTTATTTAGCGATAAAAATCGCAAACAATACAGTCGAGATCTCATGACAGAACACAGACTGGTTGAGTGACACTTTCATTTTGATCGCTAAACTCCAGCTTGTTTGTCAGTGTTTTGAGATCATCGACGGCGGCGCTTCCGCAATGAGGAGCGAGCGCGTGCGCATGGTTGCCAGATTGCTTAAAATAAGCAAAACACCGGGGAGAATATGTATCCTTGTAACAGCGAAGCTCTGATTCGGGGAACTGTAGAGGCGTGTACAGTTGAGCAGTCCGCAATAACGTGTTGTCTCCTTTTTTGGACGTTCAGTGCATTCTTTTGGGAAAGTATGCTTGAATTTGAAATATTCGATATTCACGATAATCACGATATTTTCAAATTTTACATCGTCATCAAAATGATTGGATATCGCTAATATTCGATATATCGCCCAGCCCTAATATATATATATATATATATATATACATACACATATATATTTTTAATCATGTAATTAATTCCATATATATTTTTTGTATAAAATATATGGAATTAGTTACATGTCTTTTTAAATACATGTATATTCTATCATATTAATATTAGAATTAATTCTTTTGTATAAAATTTGTATAAAATAGCTTAATTTGGGGGTTTTCCTCAGTAAATATTGGCATGTGGTTAATTAAATGCAATGTTATGTCAGGGGGGCTGTAAACTGTGTCCGAAGGCACAACATCAGTTGAAATGGATGACGTTATAAGATGCTCTGCTGTGCCTGCATGTAAACAGAGCAGTGTTGCTCCCATCTGCACGATGGAAGGATGCTTTAGCCCAGACTTTGCTGAGAGATTTTAATAAAGCGGACAGGCGGCCGGGCAGCTGAGGCTGATACTAGTGAGTGATGGTGTGAATCTGTAGCTTGAATCTCTCCGTTGACGTCACACTTCCTTTTCAGCAGATGAGTCCTGCAACAACTGCTCGTTTGGCGCGATCTGCGACGCTCAGACTGGCCGGTGCGTGTGCCCCAAAGGGTGTTTGGAAACACGGCAGCCCGTGTGCGGCAGCGACGGGATGACGTACGAGAACGAGTGCAAGCTGAACGTGGAAGCCTGCACTAAGCAGCTGGATCTCAGAGTGGTGGCCCATGGAGAATGCAGTGAGTACAGAAAAACAAAAATCAGTTCATCCATCACCTTCATACATGTTCACTCATCAGTCTGTTTGCTGCCAAACAAATCATTTTCTGTAGTATTTTTGTTTTGATTTCCAGTAAAACTTTCTTTAGTTTACAATATTGTGACAAATGACTTTTTTCTGATGTGTCTTGAACTAAGGTTACCTGTTTTGTTTGTTTATGCATAAATCCCATGTTTTTCAGAATTATGCTTTAAGCAAGAAAATTTACAATTTAAGGAGAAAAATAAACTTAATTCAAGATAAATGTTCTCTGAAAAAGTCTTAATATCTTGTGCAGTTTTACTTTTCAAGCAAATTGTTTTTTTTTGTTTTTTTTTAAATCGTTGAATTATGTGGTGCTAGAAAACAAGACAAAATACTGATGAAGAAAATGTTTTGCAGTGCAGTTTTCTTGTCAAAACACAAGAAACTGTTTTAGCTCTCTTTCCAAATCATGTTATGCATGCTACATGATTTTACGTGGTGGTTTTTACGTAGCAGAATCCCATGTGAATGTGTTTGGAGTTTCAGGAGGACGTTTATTGAGGTGTGAACATGTTTCTTGCATCTCTTTGTGTCTCAACTATCCTATCCTGTGATTTGTGCGTGTTGCGTGTGTTTGATCAGAAACCTGTGGCAGCACTGTGTGTAGCTGGGGAGCACGGTGCGTGCAGAACCAGTGTGAGTGTCAGCAGTGCACGGGTCAGCCAGTGAAACCCGTGTGCGGCAGTGACGGCAACACCTACAACAACGACTGTGAGCTGCGGCTGGCCTCCTGCAAGAAACAGAGGAAGATTGAGGTGGCCAAACCTGGCATCTGTGATGAAGGTGGGTTTATGTGTTCATGTATGTTATAAGATAAGTGAGAAGCTGAACTCCCTGTTATTTGCTGATTTTCACAGTTGTACTTGGGACTAGCCGAGTTAATGCATTCACTCCAAACAGTTTATTGCGGCCAATTTAACCTCCTCGCATCGACTGCACTTAGTGACCCGTCATATTTGAAGCATGAAATGCAGGCATCAGTATGCGCCTTGTGTTCTCTGTCTTTTCGCTCTAGGTCCCTGTTGTGTCAGTGTTTGAGATTCAGTTTTATTCTGGTTTTGATGCAGTTATAGTCAGTACCATGCTTTCCACTTGTTCTAACATTTAATAGAACATATGTATATATGTAATATGCACAATATATGCACAATAAAACACACACACACACACACACACACACACACATAAATATGCTAATGAGGCACATTGGAGTGACGTCAACTCCCCTCTTGGACTGATTGGCTAGAGTAGGAGCTGTCAATCTAGAACTAATGGACCAATGATGACGCTTAAACCCACCCTGATTTACATGAAACTCTAACCGCAACATTTGGAAAAGCAAGCGCTAAACTTGGAAACAAGTGCGAAGTGAAAAGCAGCATCAGCATACAGAAAATAAAAATATGAGCAGAAAATGTCTGAGGGCACAAAAGAAACAGAGAAATATATCAAAGGAAAACATGAATTTGTGTGCAAGTCGAATAATTTTGCATTACTATTTCAGTTTTGTGCAATATGATTTTAAATGTTAAAATTTTGATTCATGCTTATTTTTTCAATTTTTCATTTTTGATTATTTTTCAATCTGTGACTATTGTTTGCTATTCTGAGAACTTTGCTTTAATTTTTTACATTTTACGCAATATATTTTTCCTTATATTTTTTAAATTTTGGTTTCACGCTTATCATTTTTTAAATCTGCGACTGCAATACTTTTGGCAGAAAACTGATTCCATAAAGTTTCCCTGAGATTTTAAAATAAATATTTTATTAATTAAGTATTATTTCCTTTACGAACCCCAGTTTGGGAAACCTTGATGTAATGTAATGTTTAATGCACTTCGTGTTGTTAATTACAACAAATGTAATACATTTTCTTACTCTTTGTATTTTTATATCAATATGGTACAAGATTGTCCAATATGATAAATGAGAAGTAATCTAAAAGTAATCAAAAAGTAGTCTTTTTATATTACCTAAATGTGTAATGCAATGGATTACGTTACAAACTACTATTTTTGTCATGTAATTTGAAATCAGTAACAGACTACAATTTAAACTACAAAGTACTCTACCCAGCTCTGTATATAATAAACTATAATGTACCCTACCACTTCTCTGTATAGTCCTTATGTAATATCTCACTTAAGTCATTCCCAGCAGGCTGTTTGGCAGTAAAACAAAAATAAATAAATAAAATAAAAAATCACACATTTTTCCCCTCTAAGTCTCATCAGACCTTTTTTTCCAGCTCTGTAAGCTGTGGAGGAGTTGCTGTTAAAGGCTGCAGGATCTGGGTCCGGTCAATAGATCCTGCCCAGAGGCCAGTGACACCTGCTTTGTCAATTTATTCTCTAGACTAGTGATGCAACACCGCGGCGGCTAAAACACATCAGCCGGCAGGTCTTTGTATTTAGAAGAATAGTGAACGGGGTTTTAAGTTGATGAAAACAGAGCTGTTTTGTCTATCTTACATTTAGCTTTCAAACACCACACTCCATTTGTGTGATGGCTGGTATGATTTTGCGGTTGTGGGCACAAAATATAGTGTCAAAGTAAAACATTTTCTCAGAGGGGCCAAAGGGGCTGTTAATTTACACAGACATGGTTTATTTATTTGTTTAGATCTGGCTTCAATACGCATGTTCATTAGTCATAAGAAAGAAATGGCAGTGTTCTCTCACGAAATGAATCAAACTTACCCGTTCTATTGCCAGTTTTACTACTGAAGTTTAAATCTGAAGATCCTATGTCTTTAAGGGACAGTTTACCCAACAATGACAGTTCTGTCACCATTTAATCAACCTCATGTCCATCCAAAACTTTATGACTTCTTTCCTCTGTGGAGCATGAAAGACAATATTTTGAGGAAGAACATTTTAGAAATGCCCATATAATGAATGTAAATGGCATCCAAAACAACATTAGACATCACTGACTTTTATTGGGTGGACAAAAAACATGGAGATATTAATCAGTGTATCCTTTTTTGTGTTCTGCAGAAAAAAAAAAAGTCATACAGGTTCGGATCAACATGAGAATGAGTAAATAAGGGTGAAAATTAGGTTTTTCGGAGTAAATTATGTTTTTAATGTTCTCAGAGTCATTAAAAGTGTGCAGAATTTGTCATGTGATGCCTTTTATCAAATCAAATGTCCCAAAAAAGTCACAATATTCACAGTTTTTCTTAATTTTGTCACCAGTAAAGTCATTGCACATATATTGTGAATATTTTAGAAATTGCCCAATCCTACAACTAACCATCCTGCCGATCTTGAAGGCCAAACGTTCATGGGAGTTATGCATTCACAGTAAGGCATCCCAGCCACCTGCAACAAACTAGCAGCTAAGTCTGAAGGTCACTGTCCTTGCTGCGCTCCAGCTTGACATTTTTTCTCCCCGTTCTCTCCATATCTCTCTCCTCTCTCCTCTCCCCGTCATCTATCTCCTCATCGGCCAGAAAAACCTTTCACCTCTTGATGGTACCATCTGTTTTTTTCTACTGGAGTTATTCTGTGTCTGTTTACCCACTTAGCTTTCACTCTAGCTCGCTCTTTATTCCTTCAGCTCTCCGTCTTAATGGAAAACGCATGGCTAAATGGACCCCGCAAGTACATGATTGAGTAAAAAAGCTGGGAAAGGGCTTTGAGGACAGCTGATGTGTACATCTTGGTGTTCGCTAATTGAAAGGTTCGTGTGCAGCACGGGTGACAGTGACATCAAAGGACCGAAACTAATTAGCACCTCCTCCCCTACCCGTATCCACTCACTCCACCAGGTTTATTTATTCACCTTTCTACGTTGCATTTTTTTTCTGCTAACGCACAACCGAACCGGGAACGTAAATGCTTTCATCTTGTGCTTAGCTTGCACAATTTGGCTTAGGTGGCCCGGAGAGCCTCGTGTATGGAAATGATTGCCGCTGCTGCTCAGTGGTCAGGTTTATCAGAGTCAGAGTTTAGAAACCTTCATTTAAGCGTATTATTTACTGTATCACTGATGAGGGGTTGAGAACATGCGTTGAATCTGTAATGGGTCTTTGCAGTGCAAAACTGCTTTGTGGCTTTGGAATTGCTTGTGGTATCAGGTCTGTTTCATATGCAAACGCAAGCAGCACATTTATTTATATGCTTAAATTACAGTTTATAGTATTTACACTGAGTGTATAAGCAGCACGGTGCTGTGTAGAAGAAGCTCTGCTGCAAGATGTTTTTTTTTTAGTGCTGAGCTCATTTTTACTGTGCAACGTGTGCTTGACTTAGCAGAAAACACTTGAAAATGCACTATAAATTTGTCAACAATCTTTTATTATCAATATAGGCTTTTATGAAGCAACATGATGCAAACTATATGTGATCCCTCAGAAATTGTTTTAATGTGCTGATTTGGTGTTCAAGAAACATTTCTTATTATTATACATGTTAAAAACAGTTGTGCTGCTTAATATTTTTGCAGAAACTTTAACACATATTTTTTTAAGGTTCTTTGCTAAATAGAAATTTTAATTCAATTAATACTTTTATTCATCAGGGGTGCATTAAATTGATCAATAATGACAGTAAGGACATTTGTAATGTTGCAAAAGATTTTTCAAACAAGATTATCATAGATCAGTCAGTTAAAATATTTAAAAAGCATGTTTTTCAACTTTCTATTCATCAAAGAATTGTATATATTGCAACAAACTAGCCGCTAAGTCTGAAGGTCACTGTCCTTGCTGCGCTCCCGCTTGACATTTTTTCTCCCCGTTCTCTCCATATCTCTCTCCTCTCTCCTCTCCCCGTCATCTATCTCCTCATCGGCCAGAAAAACCTTTCACCTCTTGATGGTACCATCTGTTTTTTTCTACTGGAGTTATTCTGTGTCTGTTTACCCACTTTGCTGTCACTCTAGCTCGCTCTTTATTCCTTCAGCTCTCCGTCTTAATGGAAAACGCATGGCTAAATGGACCCCATAAGTACATGATTGAGTTAAAGAGACGGAAAAGGGCTTTGAAAACAGCTGATGTGTACATCTTGGTGTTCGCTAATTGAAAGGTTCGCGTGCGGCGCGGGTGGCGGTGACATCAAAGGGCCGAAACTAATTAGCACCTCCTCCCCCACCCGTATCCATTCACTCCACCAGGTTTATTTATTCACCTTTTTACGTTGCATTTTTTTTTCTGCTAACGCACAACAGAAACGGGAACGTAAACGCTTTCATCTTGTGCTTAGCTTGCACAATTTGGCTTAGGTGGCCCGGAGAGCCTCGTATATGGAAATGATTGCCGCTGCTGCTCAGTGGTCAGGTTTATCAGAGTCAGAGTTTAGAAACCTTCATTTAAGCGTATTATTTACTGTATTGCTGATGAGGGGATGAGAGCGTGCGTTGAATCTGTAATGGGTCTTTGCAGTGCAAAACTGCTTTGTGGCTTTGGAATTGCTTGTGGTATCAGGTCTGTTTCATACGCAAACGCAAGCAGCACATTTATTTATATGCTTAAATTACAGTTTATAGTATTTACACTGAGTGTATAAGCAGCACGGTGCTGTGTAGAAGAAGCTCTGCTGCAAGATGTTTTTTTTTTAGTGCTGAGCTCATTTTTACTGTGCAACGTGTGCTTGACTTAGCAGAAAACACTTGAAAATGCACTATAAATTTGTCAACAATCTTTTATTATCAATATAGGCTTTTATGAAGCAACATAATGATGCAAACTATATGTGATCCCTCAGAAATTGTTTTAATGTGCTGATTTGGTGTTCAAGAAACATTTCTTATTATTATACATGTTAAAAAACAGTTGTGCTGCTTAATATTTTTGCAGAAACTTTAACACATATTTTTTTAAGGTTCTTTGCTAAATAGAAATTTTAATTAAATTAATACTTTTATTCATCAGGGGTGCATTAAATTGATCAATAATGACAGTAAGGACATTTGTAATGTTGCAAAAGATTTTTCAAACAAGATTATCATAGATCAGTCAGTTAAAATATTTAAAAAGCATGTTTTTCAACTTTCTATTCATCAAAGAATTGTATATATATCAGAATATTACAATGATTTCTGCAAGATCATGTAACACTGAAGACTAAAGTAATGATGCTGAAATTCATAAATTATGTTTTATTAAAATAGAAAACAAATAATATGAATATTATAGATCAGTCAGTTAAAATATTTCAAATTATGTTTTATTAAAATACAATAACATTTTAAATTGTAATTGAAAAAAATTGTGCACACTATGGCTGTTTTATTCTCTATTTTTTCATGGTTTGCTGTTATTTTTTTATCAAATAAGTGCAGCCTTGGTGATGATAGAATGTTTCTTTTGAAAACTTTGTATATATTATTTTGTATATTATTGTATATTATTATTGAGTTATTAAATGTATTTGTTGTGAAAGTATGTGCAGCATGAAGCATTTTGTTTGTAACTGTTTTCTCTGTTTGCTGTGCCATAATAATAGGCAATTGGTGTGAAAAAAAGAGAAGGGTTGTAATAATCATAGTCAAATGCAACATTCTTTCCCCTTGGAGTCTCTTGGCTGATCTTAACAAGACTCTGCCCTAAGGCGTAAATTCAGCTCAGCTCACATTAAGCAAAATACAGAATCTCTTCATCACAGTGTCGGATCGCTAATGCTCTGAAGCAGAAACCTGATGTCTACACAGTGAATGCATTTGCTCTCTGTATCACTGTGGCCAGGGCTTCAGGCTTGAGTGCTTTCGTTGTTTCCAGGCTGGGGCTAATGAATTGAATGGCCTCCACGAGTATCGACCCTGCAAGGCTGTCAGTGTGGATTTTTGATAAGACGTATCAGTGCTGGCCAACCCCTAGCCTTTACTGTGACCGGTTTCATAATCTGTTTAAGGAGATTTTTTATGCTAAGTGGCATTTCCACCTATACACAATCGATTTTCCCATCAGGGTGCACGAGGTTGCCCTACCCAGCTTTGCATGTGAAGAAAAGAACACGTTTAACTCGCAATGGAGACGTGGGAAAGAGCATCCACAGGCATTTGGTTTTTCCTCATTAATCAAATCGATCGACATGCGGATTTTGTGTTTCCCTAATGCTAATGATAAACTGGCTGATTAATCGCAATTAATTGCATATATCAATATCTGCAGAGAAAAGACCCCAAAAAATAATACAAAGTTGTGAATTACCTCAAAATTGCGAAATATTATTACAAGTTGAAATAAATATAGATTATCTGAATATTTTAAAATGTTATTTATTTATGAGATGGTAAGCTGAATTTTCAACAGACTTCAACTTTCAACTTCATTCTTCAGTCACATGCTTCAGAAAGCATCTACAGAGTGAAAAATTTAAGGGGGTCTGAATACTTTCCGTACCCACTGTATATAGGCATAGATACAGATGTATAGATATAGAATTTTTTCTCAGCAAATACATATTTTTTTCCTTAATGAAGGCAAACACGCAGTTATGAACTGCAGCAAGTTTTACACTCTTTTTATTAGCTGCTCGGCAACTTTCATTAAAAATAACAAACGGTAATGCTCTGTTACAAAGAGTGGTGCTTTATATCTCCAGCAAGTCAGCTTTGTTGACTAATGAACTTTAATTCTAATTAAATAGGCTAGATAAGAGTGTGTTTAATGAGGCGACTCATCTGAAGAAAAATCCTCACTATTTCCTCACCCATAATCCCCAAAGTTTGGATCCTGGAGAGAATCGAGATTAATCCTTGGGGGTTTCACACAGAGAAACGAACCCTGAACTCGCACCGAGACTAATTGCACCCGACATAATGTAGTGTGATTACTGACGTCACGCATGATGGACGTGAAACACTCGTTTACATTGATTTCAGATTGTCAGTTATTTCACTTCTAATCGAAATGTAGGAGACACTTTGCTGGTGGCACACTGGTGTCTTGTTTAATTTATTTCGTTAGTTGCTGGGTATTTCCATTGCTGGTCATTATCTTGTTCTTCCAGCAGTGCCTTTGCTTCAATCTTCACTCCAACGTGAAGAAAATCTCAGTATGCGCGGAATGTCTGAATACTTTGCCAAGCACTGTCCATTAATTCTTGGCAGCAAAAGTTAAAACAAGATGCTTGAGTACCTGGGAATATTTTTATTTTATTAGAAGACAATGTGCGGCATACTGATATGCAAATATGTGTTTGCATGAGGTCCCCAGTGTCTGCGTGTCTTATTTGTCTTATTTGTCTTTGCTCTTTGTGACTTCTAAAGTACTTACCCGCTGTTTACGCTCAGATCCCAGGTCTCATGTGAGATTGCTTGTTTATCTCCCTGAAATCAGTGTTAGTGATTTTATTTGTTCTTTTATATGGTGTAAATTGAGGTTGTGCATGGGTTACTGCTCTTTGTGTGGACAAACACCTAAACAACTGTGTATGGGTTTGTAAGACACAATGTGTCGGTACCTCATCATTTTTACATTTAGATTACCTTTGTCATTATCTAATGGTCATCAAAGTGCATTTTTAAAAACACTAATAATTTAAGAACACCTTTAAATATAATGTTTAGCAAATCTGAAAAGAAATGCAATATTTTGTTTTGATTAGCATTAAATGATTGGTTTTATTTTAGTGTTTTATTTAATTTTGAGTCAATTAAACTGAATTAAAGTGTTTAGAGTGTTTTTTGTTTGTTTGTTTTTTTTAATTTAGACAAAATATTATAGAATTTGATGTTGGCCATTTATTGGTTATATCTGGTTATGTCTCCAAAATGAATAGGCCCTATCCGTTTTTCATACTATACATTACAGTATAATGTTGTTGTATTATTGTTTTTTGCATTTATTTAGACAAATGGTTTGGATATTTAATATGGATAATTTTATGCATATATTGCATGTCATTTATGAATTTATGTTCATTAAGATATGGATGGAATATTTGTCTTTTTAAAAATTTATTTATCACAGTTTTTTACGTAAAATAATAAAGACAAAAAAAATTTTAAAATGGTGAAAAACTTTTGACATTTTTATGCAGACAAAAATGTTATGCATCAACCTCCTATAAATGGACTAAATAATCTCATTTCGCATTTAACCTCCTGAGACCTTGCATCCTCATATAAGGACATTATATTTTTGTGAATTTCTCTGAGACTATACATGCCACAGTTTAAGTCTGGATGTCCTGTACAGAGCACATTCAGGGCTTTTCAGAGATACTAAATGTTTGGATGTTTCACCATGAACACCTCTCCTTGGTCTTCAAAAATGTCTGATTTTAATTTAGTGACACTCTTATGGAAATATGGTAATATTTTGTAATTGTCATTTAAATCTAGTTTATAGATACATTATATATAATGAGAAAACCTGTTTATGGCTATTTTACACACATTTTGCATAAAGAAAAATGGTATATCAAATCATTCTGTTATAACATAGTTGAGAATTATCTTTATACAAAGTTTGGTAAAAAAAAAATCCTGAAAACTAAAAATGTATTTTTTTGTATTAAAAAAAATCAATTGTTTTTACCTATGCATATTCATTCATGTCTTTTTATAAAAAAAAAATTGAGTCCTCTTAACAAGGACGTAGCATAACTTATGAATGAAATATCATTAAAACAAATTAATAATAATTAATAAAAAAAAAAAATTATTACATTTTTTTTAATGCTCTAAACAATGTAATGACATGAAAAAAATACACATTTTTTCCTAAAATGTTTTGCCAGGTTAAAAATGATGAATTAAAAATGCCAGACACTTAAGGGTTTTGGGTTAGAATTAGTATAACAATTGAGTTTTATTTTAAAAATGTATTTATCAGAGGATTTTTTACAAACTAATGGAGACAAAAAAAAAAGAAAATGTTTACAGTTATGCATCAGCCACCCATAAATTGACTAAATAATCTAATTTTATACTTAAAAATGTTTGCATTAAGGGTTTGAGTTAGAATTAGTATAATGATTGATTTTTATTTTATGGACAGTTCAAATCAATCAAGGGTCTATGAAGTAAACAAGGGTATTTGCTTATGTTCCAACAGACTGCGGTTCAGGAGGCTCAGGTTCAGGATCTGAAACCTGCGAGCAGGATCGTTGTCGACGATACGGCGGATCATGGGATGACGACACAGAGGATGACCGCTGCGTGTGTGACTTCACCTGTCAAACAGTGCCGCGCAGCTCAGTATGTCCATTCACACACCTCGCCATTTCCAATCGAAGAGAGTGCCGCCCAAGCATTTGCAGTGTTGGGGAGTAACTAGTTACATGTAACAGCGTTACATAATTTAATTACAAAATAAATGTAACTGTAATCAGTTACAGTTACTAAGAAAAAATGTGTAATTAAATAAGTTACTTTTGAAAATGTCAACGATTACAAAGGGGATTACATTTGAATATTTACACACATCCACATACAGATTTAATTGATTTCTTTCCCAAATTGCACTGACTACTCTGAGACATACGCTCCTATAATTTCCGCGATGCGGAAAACACAGACTGGTTCGTAGAATCCAGTCATAAAAACGGAATTCCTATAGCCTAACGAGGATTCCCGGTGGCCTGGCAGCTGATTTGCCCCGGTATTTTAATATTATTATTGTATAATTGCCTGCCGAATGTACTAAAGCGATTATTTCCGAATTCGCCATTCGATAATTAAATCTCTAATAAATCATGAATTGGTTAGTCGTGACTGGCAATGCTTCGGCTCGCGCACGCATATCTGTAACCTATTACATTTCCAAAGTAACCTTCCCAACACTGGGCATTTGACTTGTTAAAACGTGTGCTAAATCTTGTCAAATCCATTAATGACGCCGGGTTAACCTCTCTGTGAACATTTGCAGGTGTGCGGCTCTGATGGGAACACATACACCAGCGAGTGTGAGCTGAAGAAGGCCAGGTGTGAGAAGCAAATGGACTTGCTGCTCCAGAGCCAAGGTCCCTGCTCAGGTAAGAGAGCACCTTTTCTTTCCTCTAATATTTATGTTTTCCTCAGTCATCTGAAGAATAACACTCCAGGAGCTCTGACAGGATGGCTGTTGGAGTCACTGCAGCAGAATGCAGTGTTTCTTTGAGCTTAGGAGGCTTGTGTAGTCCAGACCTGAGCATCTACCACAGAGAGAGGAAGAGCGTGGCTCTGTGATCAGAGCAGTGTGAGATTCCCTCAGGCTTCAAGCCTAGCTTGACTTGCGTGCGCACATGCGTGCTCTTCTCTCTCTCTCTCTCTCTCTCTCTCTCTCTCTCTCCCTCGCTCGCTGCACCCCTCATCCTTTATCTATGGTTTTCTCGAACTCTTGAGTTTTCTGCTTCAGAGCCTCACAGGCCCTCTAGCCAGATCAGTCATGCTCCTTCAGTGGCCGTGGAAAATAAATCCTTTTGGAGAACTTTCAACCGGTGTGAGGAGCTTTTGGCATCTGCTTCCCATTGGCTGAGCTCAGATCAATGGAAATCTCATCGGACCCTGCATTTGATATGCACGCTGCAGTCTCTCCTCCCCCAGTTTCTGACCCGTGCCTTTGAGAGCTGACGGGCCTCCAGAGCACCTTGCTGCTTTTTGCTAATTGGAAATTAGGTCTTGGTGACCTCTAGACAACCCGAGTCTCCTTGCAGTGAAGATCAGAGGATGCTGTAAGCTGCCTCTTGCAATTTGTTGGCTGATTGTGATGCTCAGAGGAGATACTGAGCTGGGCTGGGCAAAAAAGCTACTAAAATTGTGACCCTGGACCACAAAACCAGTCATAAGGATAATTTTTTCGAAACTGAGATTTATATATCCTCTGAAAGCTGAATAAATAAGCTTTCCATTGATGTGTGGTTTGTTAGGATAGGACAATATTTGGCCGAAATACAACTATTTGAAAATCTGGAATCTGAGGGTGCAAAAAAATCTAAATATTGAGAAAATCGCCTTTAAATTGTCCAAATGAAGTTCTTAGCAATGCATATTACTAACCAAAAATTACATTTACGGTAGGAAATTTACAAAATATCTTAATGGAACATGATCTTTACTTAATATCCTAATGAGTTTTGGCATAAAAGAAAAATCAATAATTTTGACCCATACAATGTATTTTTGGTTATTGCTACAAAAAAAACCCCAGCGACTTAAGACTGGTTTTGTGGTCCAGGGTCACAATTGATATTTATAATATTTATACTTTTGCTGTTTTCAATATGTATTTCAATATTTATGTACTTTATTTTTTTCAAATCAGTATAACCACAGTTTCTACCAAACAGAACCTTTGTGCCTGGTTAGTTTGAAAATGTTTTAATGTAAAAATGAAAAACAAGTCAAATCTAGTAATATTTATTTAGATACAGATATTTAATGTATGTGTGTAATTTGATATATAATATTATTTAATTTCATAATAACGCTTAACGTTTTGATTGAAGACTCAAAACAACTAGTGTTATTTTCATATTATTTATGTACTACTAGTATTTAGCAATATTTTGAATTAGCTTTTATTTTTTATATTTTTAGTTTTCCTTTTAATTGTAGTTTTTTTAGTAAATCTTTCACTTTCATTAATTCTAATGTGCTTTTGTCGTTTTTCTTATCTTTATCTTATCTATTTTTTATTTATCTATCTTACTATTTTTATTTGAGTTTTAGTTTTAAAACTTATTTTATTTCCATTTGTTGCCAAGACAAGTTTTAAGTGTAAATTTTTTTTTTGACGTTTTTCATCTAATATTTATATTTCATGTACCTTTTTTCCAATTAACAAAAATGTTTTTAGTAGTTGTAGTTTTAGTTAACTGTAACAAACCATTGAGTTGTTTAAGTAATTGAATATTTACAGAATTTTTTAATCTCTCATAAATTCTGAGACAATGATTTATTGAAACAAATGGTTTAAATCAGCATCAAAAGAATGAAAACATATGATATATATTCAATATATCATCCGGCCCTAATATTGAGATGTTCCTCTTCAGTCTTCATTTCAATATAATGTGGTGTGGTCATTTTAACTTAGTATGGAGAAACAAACAATGCATTTTCTGTAAAAAATTGTTGTAATATTGACATTGTGATGTTCCCACAGTTTGGTAGGTGATCTTCACCCCATCTATGCCATTACCATCACCAATAATCTACGATACTTCAATAAAAATAAACATCTAAGCTGATCAGCCTCGCTTGCAGCAGCACCTTGTTGGTGTCAGAAAGGATTGTGTTGTAGAACAAACGAGTGTAGAAAGAGGATGGTGAAGAATCGCAGTGAGACGAGAAGAAAGGATCAAATTAAAAGCACCTTTGTCATAATGGACTCGGTGCAGAGAGGAGAAGTTTAATGAGGTGTGGGCAAAACCCATCTCTGGAGCCACAAAATGCTGTGAAAGGCACAGTGACACATCACTATTATACCCCAGGACGTGTACGCTCACGCCGACGGCCCCCTGATTTACGACAGCCTAGTCCTTCTAGCTCCGAACTCGAAACCACAAACCTGCCGCCTCGCAGCCATTCAGTTCAATGGCCTAGAGAAGAAGCGCTCAAACAGAACAAGTGTGGATAGACTGGGAAAAAAATGACAGCACAGATAAGAAAAATAGGCACCTGCCATCTGCCTCCAGCACAACATTATAGTCAAACACCGCAACAAACTTCCTCCATATGTGAGCGGGGAACGCTAAAATAGTATAATTAGGTTATAGCAAGAGTGGACTGACATCAACGCGTCCTGATTTGCGCTCTTGTGCATTTGCGTCCATAAACCCGGAGTCCATAAATCTTTGTTTGACATTGCGGCGTAGGTATAAACGGCGCTATCTGAGACTAGAACAAATGGAAAGAACAGGCCCCTGAGAATGTGTCAAATGTCACCCACCAGACATTCGACGAGAGGTCTATTGTTTGTTTTCACGGCTGGTAATAGCATCATTTTTTCCTGATTTTGAATTGGTGTCAGGAATTGTAAATAGAATTGTTATCTGGCAGCCAGATGCAGGCTCTCCCACCTCTGCTCCTTAAGCGATTCTTATTGTGTTGTACTAAATTGCATTTCAGCTTGGATTGTTTAGTTTAATTTGTCTTAAGAACGCTGTGGATCTCAATATGTCTCTCTCTCTCTCCCCCACCCACCCCTGTTTGCTCTGTATCTTCTCTCTAGCTATCATATCAGCTCCTACAGAGCTCGTCGCCTCCCAGCACTGTAGCGAAACTGTTTACGGATGCTGCCAAGACAATAAGACCGCTGCCCTGGGTGTTGGACTGGCTGGGTGTCCTAGTACGTATAACTGCCATGAACCCTTATCTATCAACTAGTTCAGTGGCAGTTTGATTCAGTCATGTTAAATAACAGACATAAGCTAGGCCAAACACATTTTTTTAATGAAATTAATATTTTTATTCAGCAAGGACATATTAAATTGATTAAAAGTGACAGTAAAGACCTTTATAACGTTACTAAAGATTTCTATTTCAAATAAATGCTGTTCTTTTGAACTTTCTATTCAACAAAGAATTCTAAAAAAATACATCGGCGATTCCAGAAAGCTGCAACAACTGTTTTCAACATTGATAATAGTAAGAAATGTTTCTTGAGCTGCAAATCAGCTTATTAGAATGATTTCTGAAGGATCATGTGACACTGAAGACTGGAGTAGTGACTGCTGAAAATTCAGCTTTGCATCACAGGAATATTACAGTAGAATATAGTTATTACAATTAATATTTCACAATCTTACTTCATTATATTATTAAATGTTTAGTGTTTGTAGAGGTCTTAAAGACTGTCTTAAACACATTAAATGATAAAAGCATGGACGTAGGAATGATCTGACATGGGGAAAGGGGATGTTATAGTCTCATTAATATTAATAAGATGACATAACATTTGTACAATGTTTGCTGAATGAAATAAGTGTGTACTTGGCATTCGTTCATTTGATCCAGGCAGAGGTTTCTGCTTGATCCTGAAATGTTATACAAATTTTTATCTCCACTACGGAGCCCCGCACATGACATGCAGGAAAAAAATAAATAAATCGTGCACACGATTTACTAATTTGTTCCCTCGATGTACTAAAACGTGCACACGATTACTATTTCGTTCCCTCGATTTGCTAATTCTTTCTCTCAGTCTGCTAAATCGTTCCCTCGATTTGCTAAATCGTGCGCACAATTTACTAATTCGTTCTCTCGATT